AAGCCTGTTCCAGCGTTGTAAGTAAACAGCAAAGTGGGCACAGTGGATACGCTGTTATCACACTTAACTGCTACGGGCTCTTCTCCAAACCTCCCACATGGAGACTGAGAACTTCCGCCAACGTGGGGAGAGAAAACTCACCCCTGGCAAACTGATCTCTTTACCTCCTGCTTTCCATCACACACTCTCTTTGAATACGAAGAGGCTTCCGGAGTAGCCAGAACTGCTTACAAGGCTGCAGTAATGTTGATCATTTTGAATCAAATGTTGGCGGTGGAAATCCTATTTTAGCATTCTGGAGTTGAATTATTTTCTTTATGTTTGTTTCCATAATAGATATTGCAGATGTTATTCTGTAATCAATATCATGTGTATGTGTGTGTGTGTGTGTATTTTATAGTCAGTTTATTATTGGTAGTGTTATATGTGTCTATATAAATATATTTCAGAATATATTTGAATTAAAATATCGAGAAAAATATATTTTATTTATCTTTTATTATGTATGTTTGGTATAATTATGAACGTGCACATCTACTATCATTTTCTGTATCTATGGTTTATATATGTCCCATAACAGAGAGGAAGCCAGACAGAGACAAAGAGGTCTGAGGACATTAAGTATGTGTAGGTGGGACATTTCATTTAAAATTACTAACTTAATTATGGTCAGAGCCAGTGGTCGAGACCTCCACCTCCGCACACTCTGGAATGCTCTAGAGGAATGTCTTCCAAGAAGGGCCAGATAGAAGTGCTTTGTTTGGAAATAAAGCTTTTGTTTTGTGTGTTTGTGTGTGTGTGTGTGTGTGTGTGTGTGTGTGTGTGTGTGTGTGTGTGTGTGTGTGTGTGTGTGTTTTCAGTAGCTTCAGGACTTCAGCAATGGCAAAAACAAGAGCTCAGTCGCTCAGCGCTTCATCGCAGCCCACGCTTGTCTCTCTTTGACAAAAAAGCCACAAGATTCCTTCCGTTCCTGCAGAAATGAGATGTGCTGTTGATTTAGAGCATGACGGATTTTGCTGCCATATTCTCTAATCCAGCAGAACCAAAAGTGTGTGTAAGTGCGTGTCTGTGCTATTAGTGATCAGATGTGCAGCCCATCTGAATTCATAACAGGAAAGCTCTGGTGGTTGAATTTTATGCTGATGCACTTCCTACTGAAACAGGAAGCTTCTTGAGGGACAAGTTTATGACTTTCCACTTGCTGTTGTTTGTAGATGCTATTCTTGAGAGATCTTGTTGGATAAACCAGTATATTGTAGGATTAGCCTTAGTAGTTAGGTTTCTCAAAAAAAAAAAGACATGGGCTGCATCCAAAACCGCATACTTCCAAACTTTATAGTATGCTAAAATCAGTATGCGAGCTGAGTAGTATGTCCGAATTCATAAAATTCGAAAATCAGTATGCGAGAAGTACCCAAATGACTTACTATTTCCGGTGAGTTTCTGAAGCAAAGAGCATAGAATCACAAAGAGGTGATACTCTAGTGCGACTTAGGAATCTAAATGTCACTGCGGCCATTTTGGAATGAAAATTTCAATACAACAACAGCATATTATATTAAGTCTGTAAAATAAACTATTAAAAGTGCTGATGATTGTGATAGTAAGTGTTGTATTGTCATCTTTAATGCTGTATCTTAGCTTTATTGTGCATTTTAAATAAATAAATAAAAAACAAAGCAACTGTTTGCCATCGCGACAGCAATAAGATCCAACAGACAGCCGATCGCTTTCACTCCAAAATGGCGGAATCACCGGGCTGTTGCTGGGTGCTGCAGTTCCAATGAAATGTGTCGCCTCTTGTTCATTCTAAGTTCTTTGATGGGAGTGAAGTGACGCAACTGACACAGGTAGGTCACGGGACCATGACAAAATGGCGGATACATTTAAATTAAAATGCAGTACCTACTGAGTAGTAGGCGGTTTCGGACGCAGCCATGGTGTCTATTTGCTAAAAGTTAATTATGCTAATGTTTAGGAGTCCACTATAGCATATTAAAGAGTTAGTTCACCCAAAAATGAAAATTATGTTTTAATTACTCACTCTCATGACGTTCCAAACCCCTGAGACCTTTGTTTGTGCTTGGAATACATTTTAAAAGATGTTTTAGATGAAATTGGAAAGCTCCCTTATCCTACAGACAGCAAGGTTCCCGACTGGTCTAAAGTTACTAAAAATCATCCTCAAAACAAACCATATGCCTTCAGTGGTTCAATTAAAACATTATCAAGCTACATTAATACTTTTTTGTGCACATAAAAAAAAAGATTTTATTCAACAGTTAATTCACCTTAGTGTCAGTATATTGTGCATATACTGGAGGAGAAGAAAGAAAGAGAAGAAAAAGAAAGTAGTTTTTTGCTGTTTAATGTGCACACAATTATTGTAGCTTAAAAATATACTGGCTGTAAATATTTCAAATAACTTAAAATGCTGATAGTTGGGGGACATGAATAGCTCCAAACCAAACCCTATATTTCATCTTGAAATTGTGATCATTACAACAAGGCATTAATGCAACACAAACTATGATTTAAATTTGTACCTGGAGGTCTAAAAATCCAAGTAGCCTTTAACTGAAATCCCTCCTCAAGTTGGAGTTCAGACTCTGAAACTATTGGTGCATTAACACATTTCATTATTAGCATAATTTTCAGATACTTGAATAAATTCAAAGCTGTTTAAGTGTTTTGTTGTTCTGCTGTGATATAAAATTTGAGTGTTTCGATGGGCTGTTTTGGTTAATGTCACATTTTATATGTTCTGGCAACAAAGAAATGAATCTGACAGAATTCTAAATAGAAAAATTACCTATTTAGCATATGTTTTGTAAAATGTAAATGCTTTTTTCAAGTCAAAATCACATAATTATGACTTGGCGTGAACCCAGCTATCAGGAATTTTTCCCAAAACATTTAGTAATGTTCCTTAAAAGTTGCAACAATAAAAAAAATAACATTTCTGGAACATTCTTGTAATGTTGATGGAAGAACATTCTTAGAACATTGATATGAGGTGAATGATCTACAGTAATTACATTTTAAATAGCGCTCTTATCACATTAGCCTATTTAACATTATTTAAAGGGCTCCTATTTTACCCCTTTTCAAGATTTAAGTATTTTGTGTCTCCAGAATGTGTCTGTTTCAGCTCAAAACACCCATCAGATTATTTATTATACCTTTTAAAAGTTTGTAATTTTCAGCTCTGAGCATCTTGTAGCTGTTTTTGTGGCCTGTGCCTTTAATGCTGGCTTTCCCTGCCCACCGTTCCCATGTGCCAGTCAAGGTGTGCCTCAATCTCTGCTTCGGCTGTGTCAGATAAACAGTACAGTGACAGACATAAAGGAAGCAGATCTCACGTAAAAGAGAGTATTTCTTGTGAGAAATACTACAGTAAGAACTTTCCCAATGATTAATTGATGTATTTGTTGTGGAGTTAATTCAAGCCATTCGATTAGTCAATGTCAATGAGTCAATGTCATTACAATGTTCACGCACACACATAGACACGCACACACATAGATGCACACACACACAAACACAGTGTGCGCGTTTAACTTTGCAATGTTTATTGCACGGCAAACAGGGCTGGAGTGGGACTCCTTTTCAGCCCTGGAGTTTCAAGCATTAGACCGGCCCACCTCAGTTCACGACTGACCATATTAAAATAAGGTCATTTCCAATTCAGTTTCTAATTACAAGAAAACAGCTGCTCTAAAACTTCAAATGTTCAACAACCTTACAGTTTTATATGTCTTAACAATAAAAATGAAAAAAAAAAAAAAAAAAAACTACTCAGGTGAGGATCGAACACAGATCGACAATATCTTAAGGAAATGTGCTGACCACTGGACCACAATGGTGTTGATATGCTTGTGTGGCCGGAATAATAGTTAGCTCATCATTACCATGCAGGCTGCATTTTGCTCATGGGGCTGCAAGACAATAAATAAGTAGAGCGGAGCTGCGGCAAAATAATGAATAAAAAGAGTGAGGCTATGGTCAAATAAATAAATAAATGAAAAAAGTGCGACTGCTGAGAGTGCAAGCAGCTAACTTAGAAACACCGGCCCTCGCGGCCAAAAAACGGACCGGCCCACCGGGAACTCTCCCGGTCCTCCCGATTGGCCAAAAGCGGGCCTGACGGTAAATGTGACAGGATACACATTAATATCCACTGTTGTATGGATATCCGTTAAGGTAATGTACAAAATCAACCTGATTTAACGTCCACAAATGGGGATTGAAGCGTCTTTTATATTTGTACTGACGTGCGGCTGTGGTGAAAAAGATGGTAAAATGCACTTAAACATTTAAAACTTGTAAAATCATTCTTGATTACATTTGATGATAATTGATGATCACAGAGATCTGAACAGGTATTTTAACCCCCATTACTTTGCGCATGTCCTGTCTTGTTGATATGATTATATGCGTTACTATGGAGACATTTTAATATGCAGATCCTTTTTTAATGTCAGGAAATTCAAAAAAAGAGACCTATTTTCTTTATTTCACCCAAGTATGACTGTAGACACAATATATCTACACATAGTTCTGTCCAAACAGCTTTAAAAAGATGATTTTCATAGGTGTTTTTTAAATGTTTTACATAATGTTATTATAACACTAAGAGACTACTTCTAAAAATAATGTTCAGAGCGTTCCAAAAAATTTCAACAAAAAGCTTTGTACTTTTCCGAGAACATTAGGGAAACGTTCTTAGAACATTAATATAATGTCAAAGGAACGTTCTTATAATGTTTTAAATACCATGCATTTACATTATCAATACACTGGGGATAATACGTTCGTCATCTCCGTTTCCTAATCAACATGCGGCCGACGCAGGTGTAATGCCATTCTTTCAATTGTACGGATTTGTTTGGGATTTTTATCTGTGTATTGTCAGTCCAGTCCACCAGGCGAAAACTTTTAAGTCTAATCACAAAAAAAACAACACAATGTTCTTAAACAGGACAAAATCCACAATCCGATCAAGTTTGTACGTTTTATTGCCGAAAAACGCTACGCACGACCAGCTACAGGCACGTATGAAATGAAGACATTTTAAAGCTTGAATTTCTCCATCGGCTATGAATAGACTCCCTCTGTCAATGTCAGCCCAGAGCTCACAGCTCTCGGTTTGTGTTGCTTCCATCCATTTCAAGGCCCTTCGTGGCTTCATTTCTATGAAGGCCGTGTTACAGCAGAGATGCGGCAGCCGCGGCTCACAAAAGGAGCACTCGAGCCGGTGTGAATCATCCGCCGCTGTCTCTGTGTTTGAGCCCACGCGGCTTGCTGGAAAACGAGTAAAAATAGTCATTATCATTTTAAAGCACTTTCAAAAATAACCCGCGCGAGGGGGAGAGAACGACAGAGACTGGGCGAAAAACACTGTGCTTCAACCCACACTACCTTCAGCAAACCAGGTATTACACCCAAATATTAGTTACCACAACTGTTACAGACACACCGGGGTTCAGTGATGAAAATAACATTCAATGTGGCAAAAAGCTTGTGATGTCAGTTATATAATATTTGCTGTAGAATACTTTAGTATTCGGCTCAAAGTGAAGTGATTTTATTAGGCTATTTTTATTAAAAGCAAAAAATATTAGCTTAATTTATTAGGGACATCCTATTAGCAGCAAATGACTATTAAAGTACAACTTTGTTCACAGTGAATTAAATAGTGTTAATGTTGTTTAGAAATCATACTTGCATGCTAATTCCGATCGAATGTTCATAGTTACATGGTAAACGATATAGAAACTGCTTAATGAACGAATGTGCAAATATAAAACCAACTCTATCTATCTATCTATCTATCTATCTATCTATCTATCTATCTATCTATCTATCTATCTATCTATCTATCTATCTATCTATCTATCTATCTATCTATCTATCTATCTATCTATACACAATTTATAAAATAATTATTCATATTTTATGTATTGCACATTTATTTTAATATAATCACACACTTGCACACTATATAATTAATATATCAAATTTGTCTATTAAATTGCAATAAAAATACATTTCTAAATGTTTTATAGTTAAAATGATATGTTTTTAATTGTATCACATGGTAAATTTATTGTATTGTTTTATAATAAAATTTTCATAAATTGTCATTGTGAGCATAGAAAATCCATTAAAAACCAATATTGGTAATAGGGACAATAGTAAAAATTAGGGCTGAACTATCTACATAAAATTATATTTGTGATTTGAAAAGTGCTGCAAATGTCTTTGAAATCATGTGAGTAAAGTATGGTGATGTGATCAGCAGTAAACCTCCTCCGGCCAGAGGTGCTCTCACGAGTCGCATAGAACAACCAAATACGCCCTGAAGAAAGCATACCAGTCTATGGTAAACCCTTATAGTGTATGTTGGATAAACAGAACAGAACTTTGATTTGATTCAATTGTATTAAAAAACACATAGTTTTTATTAATTTCTTTCCTTGATAGTAAGACGTAATGATGCAACTCATTTGTTACTTGCTTAGAACGCTGTTATGAAATATGTTGCTTGCTTTATTTTGTGTAAGAAGACTCGTGATGGTCGCAATTGCACATACTTTCTGGTTTAACGTTAGGAACATTCACTACAAATGGCCATAGTTTACGGATAAGCTTTGCAAACAGCTGTCAATTGGTATGTTTACATGGACGCCAATAATAATTTTAATACGATTAAGACAATACTCTGATTAAGAGTCTACCATATAAACAGTAATTTGAGTAATTTAATCCAATTAAGGTCTTAATCGAACTAAACAGAATTCAAATTAAGACGTGGAGTATGCTGATTTTGATCGCATTATTGAAGTGCAGTACAGACATGAAAACACTGCAATCAAGCTATTACTGTCATGTACTTTTGCCTCATTTTGTGTCAGGATAGTCTACAGGTTCTTTGACAGTATTCTCTGCACCTACAGAGTGAAGGATTGCAGACAACTGCATTACAAAATGTGGAGATTTTTGTGCGGTATCAAATTCCACTAAAACAGCACTCTTCCAGCAGTTCATACTCGCAGTCAAGATCTTGTTTGTCATGGGGCATGCATGAAATGTTGCTGAATGAAAGTGAAAGTGGCAAACTGCAGTTAAAGTCGACAAATTACAGTAAAACCCCTGAAATTACACGAAACTCTGGGGGAAATTTGGATTGTGTTGTGACGCAATGACGTTAATCTAATGGATCTAATGAAAAGAAACATTCATGTAAACACCATAGTCATATTATTGTCTTATTAAGATTAAGGCAAATAATTTGGTTACTGATGTTCATGTAAACATAGTTAAAACATTTTTTTTTAAAGTTTTTTTTTAAATGTTCTAAGCTATAGGACCAAGAAAAGTTTGTCTAGTCAAAACGTTCAGTCTGAGCATTATGACAGGCTACCCTTTCTGCCTGTGAAAATGTGCCCACCCTGTTCATACAGAAAGGATTATGTCATCCGCATGTGCATGGGTGCGATTCAGACTGAGAATGGCAGGCAAATATCAACAACCCACCTTCTTATTTACAATTTGCTATTGTAATTATTAACTGTACTATAAAGTTTTCTCTGTGGTTTGGTAATTGTTATGTGATGTATTGTAGTAATGTTGGTTAGTGCGTGTTTATTTGTTCAGGAGACGTGGCTTTAATTGGCGGTTTGCAGTGTGGGATGTAGGCTTTTAGAGCTATCAGGCTAACATTAGCATTTAAGATCTCCTATTCCACCTTTAATCACTAAAAGTTAATTCCTGACACTCTTGCACACCTCCAGACTGTCATGCAGAATTATATGGTGTCTTTGTCTTTCTTGTTGTTTTTCAGCTCTAGTCATTTGAGCTCTTCTCCCACTCAACACACACACAGACACAGGAAGCCAGTGAAGACTGCAGGAAATGATTAATATGTCTCGTGCTTCAGAAACAAGAACAGCAGAGAGAGGGAGACGACTGGGCTAAAGCAGAGGTGGGAGACTGTCAAACTGCAGAACAATTCACTGCCAGAGCATTTCAGGTGACTGCAAATGACTAGTAATCAGGGCCATAATGAACACTTGCACACAACAAATGTGAGTAAAAATTGGTTGTTGTGAGTATGAGGATTGGATTGCATTTGTCAAATCACAGATTACATAAATGTGTAATGTAATGTGCAGTTCTCACTCTGAGTTTGACTTGTATTTGCAGTGTGCAACACATGCCAAACAATTACTCAATTAATGACAATGGCTTATAAAACAGGTAATAATGAAAGACTACAGTTTTAAAATAGACATTTCTATGTGCTATTAATGAAGCAAAACCTAAATAAATGTTATTAGATTTGAAATATGTAATAATATTTACATTTTTTCTACTGTTATATTAAATAATACACTACTCTTATTGTATTTATTATAATCAATTTAGTTGTGTAATTATTATTATGCAGACCTTTATAGATCAGTAATAATATAATATAATATAATATAATTATTGACATTTTTCAAAATGAATTAATACAAAGTTGCACATTTTCATGGCCTGTAAAAATGTCAGAGTAGGAGCATTCACAGTATTTTTTTACCATATTATTATTTTTTATCCTTGGTTGATCCAAAAAAAAAAAAAAAAAAAACCTGACAAATCATGGTGTGCATGCAACCTGTATGATCTTAATTTAACAGTATAATGATCTGAGCAGCTGAATCCATCCAGTTTCTCACCTCACGCAGTCTGACAGCATCTCTAGTTCTATCATCTGTCCTTCATCTCTCGTCAGTACGACAGCAGGTTGACTCACCGCTGCAGTGCTTCACTTTGCGGCGCAGTTGCTAAGCAAACCCAGAGCTAAATAAATAAAGAAAGAGAGAGGGAAGGCAGGGCTTGTAGTGAGCATGAATGAGTGTCTGCTGGGCTTCTGAATGGGCTGCTCACTGTTTGAATGAGCAGACGGTCAGAGCACAGGACAGGCAGAGCTCAGTGTTTCTGCTAATGTGTTGTTATACTGACAGAGGTAGAGTGCAGATGTTTATGATTTATGGTTTGATTTAAGCACATGCATGGCCTCTCATAAACACTCATATCATATTTAACATAAATATTAATGTGTAATTTATGAATTTATATTTAGGAAAAACTGTATTTTTCTTTTGCTCTTTATTTTTGCTCTACAATATTTTGACATTTTTGTCATTAAATTCTTATTTGCATATTGCAAATAGAAAATGTTTTCCTAATAATTAAATTTTTTTCAGAATGTATATATTGTTATCATTTACCTTTGCTATATTTATAAATGTATTTAAACTTATTTTATATTCATGAAGTCATTAAACTTTTATAAATGCATAATATTTAATATTAATATAATTTTGATTAATTACATAAAGTAATCCTCATATAATAATAATAATAATAATGTTGATGATGATGATAAGAATGATGATAATAACAACAACAACAACAACATAATATAATATAATATAATATAATATAATATAATATAATATAATATAATATAATATAATATAATATAATATAATATATGATTCATGGAACATGATTATTCTTAATATTCCAATTATTTTTGGCACAAACAAATTCATCAAGTAAAACTGTGCATATACACATACACACTCCCACACACATTTTTTGTGATGCAATTTGTCTCAGCTCAGATATGCGTTCTCGTTTCATATAAATATACACACTTGCACGCACGCACACACACAGACAGTCTTTCAGAACATCGTGTTCTCTCTGACGTTTGACACCAGGGTGAAAGCTAAGAACAGGAAACCCATTACAATCAATATGTCCCTTTTAGCCTCGTCTTTTCTCCCTTTAATGGAGACTCAACAAACACAAAAACAGATACAATTCCATATCATTTAAGGCACTTCTGCAATGCTTTATCTACACCACAACTCTTATTGCACCTGATGTACAAAGCCATATTTAAAAGTGTCATCCCCAGGCATAAAAATATGCAATCCGAGATGAATGACTAATCTAGTTTGGCAACACACACACACACACACACACACACACACACACACACACACACACACACACACACACACACACAAAGAGTAAGAATGAAACCTCACACTGGCCATAAATGACTCACTCACATCCTAGTGTCATAGAAACATCCTCATAAACAAAGTCAAGCAAACACACATCGAGACCCGGAGCCGCAACAGGAAGCTAACTGCTGAGAACAACCGCCGCTTTTTTCCTCTTTTTCAGGACGCCTGCCATTGTGAAACCCAACACTGCACAATCCTCCTCCTCTCCACATGCCAGAACACTGAGGCTAGCAGTTGTATTTCTGTTCATATCTCCCACTTTCCAACTTCCCAACGTGTCAGATGCCTGTGTGCTGGTATTTACTAGCGTATCAGCGCTGCTTCCTGTTTTGCACAAGCACAGAACGCAGAGACTCTTGCTAAACTGACCAGCAGCTGACCAAGCATGACCTTCCACTGCTGTTCAATTGCTCTGACCTCAGCCTGTCCCAGACTCATTTGGGGCAATGTGTTTTGCCATTGTTTTCCTCTTAGGTTTATTGCAGGATATTGCTTTCATGATACTCTAATGGTTTTGTTGCATTGCTCTTTTGATTTTGGTAAACATTTAAAGGGATAGTTCACCCAGAAAGGAAAATTCAGTCATCATTTACACATCCTTTACATTTTGTATAGTAAATTGAGTTATTTTTAATTCTGTTAAGCACAAAAGAAGTATTGGAAACCTTTAACCTTTGACTTCTATAGTGGGAAAAACAAATGCTATGGAAGTCAAATGTTACAGGTTTTCATTATGACAGAATTTAAATGAACTATCCCTTTTAAAAAGGGGAACAGTTCTATCAGCTTTACCTTACATCCTACAGGAATTTAAAGATCTTGTGTTAATGTAGGACTTTATCAGTCTTTTAGAGTCCATGCAGTTTAGAGTTGAGATAGCAGCAATGTTTGGACCAACAATATATTAGTCAGGAGGCCAATATGTTTTAGCTTATCTCTGTAGTAAGGAAAAGGGCATTTTCACACACGTGAATGTTTTAGATGGCAAGGTCATGTATGATTCCCAGAAGAGTGGGAAATTATAAAATGTATACAACCCTGAGTGCAAGTTTCACTGGATAAAATGTTCCTGTCAAATGTACAAAATACCAGCATGTTGCTATTAGTAAGCTAGTGCTTGCTTGTCGTTAACAAAGTGTCGACCAATTCATGGTTTGGCCTCACAGAGAGAACGGCCGCTCTTCTGTTTGATCCAAGCCTCTAATCCCTTTACCAGAGCTCTGACTTCCTCTCCTCCGGGACGCAGGAAGAGATGGACTCTGGAGAGAGTGAGGGGGGAGCAGCACCTGTTCAATTTCCCCCACATTCCCTCCAACTCTCGCCCACCCCCAGTCCAGGACCAGCCCTCTGAGCGCTTGCAGGGGGCGGAAAGACTGAGAACTACAAATGACAGCTGCACTTTTACTCAGGAGGAGTTCAGTGTGGAGAGGAAGGATGGATGGATGTATGGGGGCAAATTAATTCTTTTCAAGAGGCTAAAAGGATTGATCGTGGTACCATCAGACTGCCCATGTAGAGGTCTTGGCATCTGTGCATGGATAAAACCTCAACAACAACAATAAAACCTAAACAATAAAAAAAAATAAGTCAATAAATATATGTGTGTGTGGGTGTGTGTATATATATATATATATATATATATATATATGTGTGTGTGTGTGTGTGTGTGTGTGTGTGTGTGTGTGTGTATTAACATTCTATGTTGTGTGAAGTTTAACTGACGAAGGTCGGAATGGAACTTTCATTTATTTAAATCACTAAACAGAATAGCTTCAGTGTGAATTATGTTGCATCTTGACATCCGCACAATGAAAAGTGTGCACTAAAATGCATTTGGGCAACATCCATGTATGGCCTCACAATTCAGTCTGGCTGCCAGTAATGTCCATGTAGGCTTGTTTGAGCAGTGTGTTGGTTTCTCTTTCAACAGCAGGCCATCAATCTCAACAAAGGGGGTTATGGGGCCCCCGAGTCGAGCCGTGGAGAATAGTTGAAGTTGGGGTCAGAAAACGGCCGGACGGACGGAGCACCCTCCCCAACCCCTCCAAAAAACCACCCCACAGCACAATATTTGTCACCCTACCCAACACCCCATGCCTCCACCCACTCGACCTAGGCTGAATAACAGATTTCACGCTGTCTGAGGAGGAGGTTGTGAGCAGATTGTGTGTGCAGAGGAGGATGGGAAGTGGAGGCAGCCATTGAAAGGTGTTAAATGATAGTAAAATGGTGGGATTAAGGCAGGACAATGACAGGCGGTAATCCCCTTTTCCACAATAACCCCCTCTAACCATTCCCCTTGTTCCAGTCCTCTGCTCTCTTTCTTCCTCTCCGCCTCTGCTCCTCTCGGGGGTCTCTTATAATGCGGATAGGAGAGAGGGATGAAAAAGTGAAAGAGCGTCACGGAACAAAGCTTGAAGACAAGGAATCAGGGCTGCATTCCTGAATTCGCCGCATGCATTACTTTTGTAGCATTTGAAAACGTGAATGTCTATAAAGATTAAATGGTTTTAAGAGCCACTGGTGACTTGAAAGTGTGACTCTTGACACTCGCCTCTGACTATTGTGATGAATGCAGGAAGGTCAAGGGTTGCGAATTCCTAAGTGATGAGCGCAGTTGTTGTTCTTGTCAAGTCCCTTTCAAAGGAGCCGTGGAAGGGTTAGAGGACAGCAAATTTGACAGCCGGGGCAAAAGGTCACCTTTGAGTTTCATGTTAAAAAAATCTTAGAGAGATTCAAAGAGATAAGAGAGGAGCGTTCCAGCGGAACATCCAGCATTACAGATCTGATGAGAGCGTGACTGTGAAAAAAGGGTCCATGCTTGAACTTCCACTCCCTTAAAGGGATAGTTTACACAAAAATAAACATTTACTGATGGCTTTAAACCTTTATGAGCTTCTTTATTCTGATGAAGATATTTTGAAGAAACTGAAAACCATTTGCTTATAAATTAGGAACAACAAATTCTCTGGAAGTCAATGGTAACAACATTCCAGCTATCTTCAAAAAATATGATGAATTGCATTATGTGACTTTGATCTCTGCTCATCTCTAACTTTTGCCATTGAAAACTTAACTCTGCAGTTTAATTGACATTTAAGTAGTTTGAAACAATAATTTGTATAAGGTTTTTGTATGATTAGTTACAATATATCACTTCAAAAATGTCCATATAACTTTTTTCAAACTTTTAAACATCAAAAGTTGTTGAAGGAAAGATCAACATCCCACTATGCATTTCAAAATCAAAAATATATATTGAACATTTACAGTTAACTTACAGATATTGTCAGTTATTTGTTATTTATTTTATTTACTCACTAAAGCTAAACAGGGTTGAGCCTGGTCAGTACCTTAATGGGAGCCACTTGGGAAAACTAGGTTGTTGAAGTGGTGTTAGCAAGGCCAGCAGGGGGAGCTCAACCTGTAGTCTGTGTGAGCCCTAATGCCCCAGTATAGTGAAGGGGATACTATACTTTAAGTGATCGCTGTCTTTCAGATGAGATGTTAATCCGAGGTCTTGATACTCTGTGGTCCTTAAGAAAATCGCATGGCGCTTTTCGTAAAGAGTAGGGTAATCCCGGTGTCCTGGCCAAATTCTCTCCTTAGGCCCTAACCCATCATGGCCTCCTAATCATCCCCAATCACTGAATTGCCTCTATCACTGTCTCTCCACTCCACCAATAGCTGGTGTGTGGTGAGCTCACTGGCGCCGCTGTCCTGTATCTGCCTTGAAATTCTCCAAGTGGATGATGCACACTAGTGGTGGTGGTGTGGAGAGACCCCCTCATGATTTTGAAGAGCTTTGGGTGTATGGCCATACATGATAAAAGTGCTATGTAAATACACATTAAATTACATACATATTTAAGGCCTAGTTAAAAAGAAATCTGACTTAACTGAATGGATAAGTATGTTCCTAATGTGTTTAAATAGCTTATTAGTTGGATAGAGATATTTTTTCATTATTAAATTATTTACTAAATAATACAATAATATATAACAAACAAATAAATGCAAGAATTAAAGAATGGATGTATTATTTCATGTGAAAAACAAAGTTGGCAAGAAACAAAATAAATATTTTCAATATTATTTACATGGTATAGATCAAACATAACTAGATAAATAATATGATAATCATATTTTATAAAATCAAACATATGAAATAGCAAAGAAATTGAAGTTATTTCCAAAATCAATGCAATTAAATGTCTTTGAATCATCTTAAATAATAGCCATAAATAATGCCCTAAAGCACTAGATTACCCACATGTTGACTACTCATGGTGACTTGACAATAGCAGTCTGTGCGGGTTAAATACATAAAGAAAAGCGCACATAACCAATCTGTTTCTAAATGATAACTACAATGTCCAGACTTTTTGCATGTCATGTATCGAAGCATCCTTTATGCAGGTGGCTTGTAGTCTAACTTTGCGTTTGTTCATGTGTGTGTTTTGTGTTCAGGCTCTGTGTAAGGGATGAACTGAAGTGCTGGTAGACCCTCTGTAAACGCATCGCTGAAAGGTATGCCAGCTGCTCACCATATCACGCTCCCTATCTAGGGTTCATGAAGGGGGCACAAAGGAGAGGAGTGTTAGAGACACAGACAAACACACACTTTCATCAAGCCTCTGACAGCTCTGCTGTCACCTGGTTCATTTGGCTAGAACATTTTGTAAAGTTTTGTCCTAAGAGACATACAAACAGATTCCTGGTTACATCAGGAGTGAGTCAGGGTGTCAGCAATGATTCTGTATTGAAGGAAAGATAATAAACTTCCTGTTAAACACATTAAATGAACTGAAAAATAGAACACTTATGTATTTAAGTTTATGTATAACACTCAGTATTAGTGTTTTTGTCTCATTTAAGATGTTTGTCTTTTCATTTCAGACTTTTTGTCTTAATATCAGTATTAACATAAGAATGAACTAGCTGAATCAATAAATATGTTAAACAAAATACGAATGTATGTTAAAGGTGGGCCTGAAGTTTGATCCCAAGTAACAAGTTCAATTCTTTAATCAATAGGCGACGACTTTCCCTCAATATATCTTAGTGAACATTTGGCTTTGCTTTAATTAACCATATCATTTAGTTTACTATAATGTATGATAAAAATAAAGACAATATAACACTTCCTGCTTGCCAAACTATCTCAGAATTCTCCAAATAAATTAAAATATAAAACCCACTAATAAAGCATTTGTATTTTTAATCTTTCTGAAATTTTAATGCTTCTAGATATAATCTTTACAGTGTTCCGTCTAGAAGGTGGTAACAGGAAATGGAAAGACTGCGGTTTGGGGGGTGTTGAGAGGGTGGCAACATCACTGTATCTGTCAGCACCGCATCTGTTTGCCAGTTTATGTTGTGTGAGCCCACAGTCCTGAGCG